CCCCCGCCGCAGCTAAAGCAACCTAGTGCACCCAGAGGATGGTGGACCCTCCGGCCGGGAAGAGCTCTGAATAGTCTCCTAGTCTCCACGTCTGCTGGTGGTGGCCTTCCCACCTTCAGCTGCCTTCATTGGGGTCACCCCACCCATGTAGGACAGCACCCTCAGCATTGGGGTTTTGCAGGAGTTAGGACCTGTCTGGGAGGGGGGAAAATGAAGTAATGAGATACAAGCCCTTGGGTGTTTGTGCTGACACATTCAACTAATTCACAACCCAGGAACACAACTTCCCCTTAGGCTGTACGTGCAGGTGTAACCAGAGCTGGGCCTGAAAAAATCCTGCCGCCTTTTGGCCGTTTCCAGTAACAACAACTTTAAAGCAGGTGCTCAGGGGAACTTCATATTCTCAAAGCCTGTGAGCCTGTAAAGACACCTGCCGTCACGAAATGCCCAGGAGCAGGTAATAGGAAAGGAATTCAAAACAGGGCCCAGTTTTAGGAGGCCAATTTCCAGAGGTACATTTTACTCATAGTGTTAAAAAAGAGAGGCACATGAAAAGATGCTGAACATTCCTAATATTAGAGAATTGGAAATCAAAACTGCAAGGAGGCATCACTTCACACCACTCAAAATGCCACGAAGAAAAAAGTCTACAAACAATAAATGTAGCAGAGGGCGTGGAGGAAAGGGAGCCCTCCTATGTTTTTGGTGGGACTACGATCTGGTAATAACTACTATGGAGAAAAGAATGGAGGTTCCTCAAACAGTAAACACATGGCTACCATATGATTCGGCAGTCCCCCTCCTTGCCACAATACGTAGATAAAAGTATAACTGGAAAATGTACGTGCACCCCTATGTTCACAGCAGCACTATTTAGAATACGCAAGACATGGAAACAACCTAAATGTCCACTGACAGAAGAATGGGTAAGGAAAATGTGCTACATATATACAATGGAATTATTATTATTATAAAAAAGAACAATATAATGTCACTTCTACCAACATGGGTGGACGTAGATATTATATCAAGTCATGTAAGTCATGATGAGAAAGACAAATACCATATGATATCACTTACATGTGAAACAAAATATGACACAAATTATCTATGAAACAGACTCCAAGACTTAAGAGAACAGACTTCTGGTTGCCAAGTTGGATGGGGGGTGTGGGAGGGATCTATTGGGAGTGTGGGATTAGGAAATGCAA